CCCCTTTCTGTTTCTCTGTCTCTGTCTCTGTCTCTCCCTCTCCCTCTCTCTCTGTCTCTCCCCTGTCTCTGTCTCTCCCCTCTCTCTGTCTCTCCCCTGTCTCTCTGTGTCTCTGTCTCTGTCTCCCCCTCCCCCTTCTCTCTCTGTCTCTCTGTCTCTGTCTCTGTCTCAAAGACAGCATGCTTAGCTGGAATCATCTAAACCCCTCCAGCGGTTTCTGCTAGGCTGGTGCCAGGAGCCCAGAGGACAGTATTTTTCCTGTAATAATGACTGCTGATTCTCTCCTGGTGGTTGTGCCCCTTCTCAGGGCAGCTGGCAGGGCCCGAGCTGAACTGGCCTCTAGTAGGCTGGGGGAGGTGGCTGCAGGGGAGGGATGGGGGACCAACCTTGGCGGGGTTGCAAGGTCTCTCAAGGTGGGGAGTACCTTGACACTCACATCTTAGATCCAGGGCTGTAAGGGACCTCAGAAAACATTGAATCCAACCCCCTCTCATTTTACAGAAGAGGAAACTGAGGTTTCAGTCATAGAGGCTGCACCTTGTCCAAGGTCACACACCAGTAAGTAAAGTTCAAGGGCGGGATTTGAACTCAGGTCCACTGGCTCTAGGCCACCCAGATGACTAAAGTGAGAGAGGAGCTCGGAGGTCATCATGACTGGTGAGGAGAAGGAGGCCGAGGGAGGTTCTGTGACTCATCCTGGGTCACCCCACAGCCAGCCTATGACTGCTCTGAAAGGAAACTGAGCCTGGTGGGTGCTGTGGGTGGCCAGGAGGCAGGCACACCCTCACCACATCCTTTGTCAATGTCCAGGCTCTTGGCCCCACGCTCTTCCACGAACACAGGCCTTGGCGGGCCCCTGGATGATGTGTTTCTGGAATCCTGTCCTGCTTTGCCTGGGTGAGGTCTGGGGACTGGGGCTGGGGGGCAGAGGGAAGGGGTGGATGGTCCAGAAGGGAAGGCTGAGGGAGGGATGAGTCTTGTCACTAACCTGGGCTGGCCCTCACTGCCCCGGTTTTATCCTGTGTAAGACGAGGCTAGCGCTACAGTTCTGTGTCAGGGGAAGTGGAGACTCAGGAGGGTCCCTGGAGATGAGGCCTCAAGCGGGGTGGGCATTAGGCCCAGCACCCCCACTAATTAGGGCCTTTCTCCCCAGGGCTCTGTCTCGGTTACATGACTGGGGCAAGACAGGGTAAGTCATGGCCCCCAAACTCTGTACCTCCAGGCACCCCGAAACTAGAGAGGCAGAGGGTGTGTGAGAGGTGGCCCTGGGGGCTGGATTGTGGTTCAAATCCCACCTCTGGCCCATACTCTCTGTGCGACTTGACCTCTCTGGGCCTCAGTTTCTCTGACAAGGTGGGCTCAGGCCTCTCTCTGCTTTATTTCTGTGATCCTCTGACAGTGAGGGGGTAGGGTCGGGGGATTGGGGAACCCCATGCGATTGATTGTCTCTCAGGGAAACTCCGCAAACCTTTGCTCTGGGCCACACCAAGCCCCACCATCCCTGCGGGGTCACCTGTGAGCATCCGGTGTCGGGGACCACCTGGGGCCCGTTTGTACTACTTGGAGAAGGCGGGGAGACCTGAGTCTTTGCTGAAGACTCACCAGCCTTGGCCTAGGAATGAAGTTTCATTTTTCATTTCGGGTGTGTCACAACTCAACGCTGGGCCTTACCGCTGCTCCTACCAGCTGCTGGCTCAATGGTCCGAGCCCAGTGATGCCCTGGAGCTAGTAGTGACAGGTGAGGGGAACCCTGCCCAGGACAGATATGAAGAGGGGTGGGGACGAGCTGGCTGTAGCCCTCTGACGGCCTCCACCTTCAGGGGTCTCTCGGAGCAAACCCCACTTACTGATGAAGCTGAGCACTTCCGCATCTGTAGAGGCCAGGGCTGAGGCACACCCTACAGCTGCACCAGGCCCCACTGAGGACAGAGGCACCAGTGGACCAGAAACAATGACTGGTGAGGGACGGGGGCTCTCAGGGCTGCGGAGAATGGGGAGTGGGTGTGAGGGGCCCCGTCCTCTCCGGGACCATGCATGTAGAACTCGTCCCACTGTGTCTGTTCAGCTCCCACCCTCCAGGATTACACGGTGCCCAATCTCCTGCGGATGGGTCTGGCTGGGTTTGTCTTGGCCATTCTGGGAGTCCTGCTGGCCTGGCCTGGCTGGAGGGATATAGGCGCCCCCTCTGGCCGCCTCTGCCCTCGGAGACACTTTCACTTTCTCAGGTAACCTGGGAAGACAACATCCTGGCCTGTCTGAGCCTGGGGGAGGGTTCTGAGACATAGATGCCTGATGGGGGAGTGGATGGAAAGTGATGGAGGTCCAAGGTGGTCAGTTATGGGAGGAACCGCAAGGGGGTCGGGGGAAGAGGAATTGTGGAGGGGCAGCCACTCCCCCTTCTGCCCCCTCCCACCTCCCCCAAGTCTCCTTGAGCAGAGTCTGTATCCTGGGGCGTCTTCCTCCAGCCTCGAGGGGCTGCGTGGCCACGTCCTCCCTGGACCTCGCTCTTGAAGCTCTCAGACCTGCTTCTGGGCCCGGGCCAGACTCAGAGCTGACAATAACCCTCAGGACAGGTCGTCCTACAATCACTCTGGGTCCCTCGCCAGCCCACCTGGGGAAGCCCAGAGGGGCTTCAGGAACTCACCCCGGGTAGTCGGAAGTCCTGAGAGTGAAGGGAGGCCAGGTACGTGTCTGAGGAGCTGCTCAGGTGTCCTGGGGAGCCCAGCCCGCCCTTGTCTAGTGGGGCTCCCTAGCAAGGCAGGGCATTGAGTCTAAGAGAGGTGTCTCATTGGGGGACGTGGGAGCCGGGGCCTCAGAGGGGAAGCAGCTTGCGAGGGTCCAATAGTAAGGAAGCAGGACTTGGAGCAGGCCCCTTCATTTCTCCGCTGGCTTCCCCAGGAGGCCATGCTTTCTTCCTAGGGGGCCCTTCCTCATCTAGTCTCTGTTCCCGCCACCCAGGAAGAGGAAGGCTGGTGGATGCCTGCCCAGCCCTGGAATCTACTTCTCTCCAGCACCCTGCCGGCTCTGAGGCCCCCACCTTGTCCCAGGACCCCTCCAGCCCCCACAGCGCGGAACGTGGGGCCAGGGTTGACCCCCTGATTGCTTCCTCCCTTGTTTCAGCACTTCAGAAACGTTTGTTGAGTGGGGCTGATTTACTTGCTAAGAGTTTACAGGTTTTAGGTTGGTTCAACTCTGAGCCTACCATTTTTCAGATGAGGAAACTGAGGTTCAGAGGGGACGAAGTGACTTTCCTAGATCACCCAAGTAGGATTCCCACCCAGAGCCCTGATTCTGAATCCATCGATGCGCCCAGCGCCCATCACCAGGCCTCCTCTGTTCCCACGGCTGTTGCCATCACACAGCCCCACTCCTACCTGCTGGATAAGACCAGTGATCTCCCAGCACGAGGCCCAGGATGGAGCTCCTGCAAAGGAAGCCACCTCTCCTCATGTAGAGAGAACAGGGATTTTTGGTGCGAGACAGCAGCCCGGGGCCCCCAGAGGGGATGTCAGAGGCAGAGCTTAACCTCAGCCTTCCTAAGCGCAAGGCTGGCTCTCTGTCCAGTATCACACACAAACACACACGCACACACTTCTCTCCATGGTCATAACATTCTCCATTAGACAATGTGGTGTCAGATAGAGAACTGGTCTCAGAGTCAGGGAGAGCCAGGCCTGCTTCCTGTATCTGTGGGACCCCTGACTGTGACCCCTGCCTGGGTGACCCTGGCTGTACAACCCCCCCCTCCACCTGTGTGACCCTACCTGGTGATGCCACCTGGTTACCCCTGCCTGTGTGACCCTGTCTGGGTGAGCCTCTCAGCGCTCACTCATCAGTGAGGATTTCCTCATTGGGAATTCCCCAGAGCAGGGCTATCTGGCGTCTAGTCCAGAAGGACCCCCAGTCCTGCCTCCCTGCTCATCCACATAGCATTCCAAGGTGTGAGGTTTGCCAAGCCCTTCGCGGGCGTTCTCTCCTGCATCACCCTTCAGTGGCGCCCCAGCACCCACCAGGCGCCGGGTCCAGACTTGCACTGATCCCCTCTATCCTTCCCCATGTTTCTTTACCACCTTGTGCTCCCACCAGGTACAATTCACTGCCTCCCACCCCTGGAATGACTTTGGATCTATTTGAGATAGTGCATATCTATTTTTCTGCGTAATCCATGAAGGTTTCTTACCTTTGTAGCTCTAGTACCTAGCACATAGTAGGTGCTTTATAAATGCTTGAGTCAATAAAAAATGGACCTGAGTTTTCTTTTCACACCTCTTGCTCCCGGGTTCCTTAGCCTGTGGCATCTTCCTTGGACCTTCTGTGACCTCCTGGTCCAGAGACAAGTGAGATGTCTCTGCTTGCCTCAGTCTCTCTGGCCCTCGCTACCAGGCAGGAGCCACTCCCTTAATTCCTGTCTGTTGAACCGTCTGTGGACAGCTTTTGGTCAGGAAGTCTCTGAGGGGCCTGGCCCATCCCAGCCTCATGGTTGGTCAGAGTGGGTGGCTGTCCAGACACGCTATGGCTAGGGCTATGTGGCCCAGGTAGAGAAGTGTGTGTGGTGGGAGGTGGGGGGAGGGCAGGACTCAGAGGACTGCTGGGCCAGGGACCTTCCCCACGGCCAAGCCAGGCTGGAGGCCTAGATGCTCTGGAGAGCCCAAAGGACTCTCTTCCCTAATAGCCTGTGGTGTTGTTCTGTGCCCTTTGGGGCCACCCAGCTCAGGAGTGGCTGGAGAGGTGGGGCCAAGAGATGTCCCCAAAGAAAGAGTCTGGGAGGGACTCACATCTAATGACCAACCTGCTTTGTGACCTTAGCTGACTAGCTTCCTCTCCCTGTTACTCACACTTCTGGGATTTCCTCCTAGGGCTAAAATTCCATCTCAGAGAACAGCATGCCCACCAGGCACCTGAGAACTCAACCAGCAGCTGTGGATTTACTCAGATCATAAGAGGCAAGGGGACACATTCCCAAAGAATGGAGGCCCTTTGAAGGGAGGCAATGCTGAACACAGAGTGTTGGAGTAAGTCAGTCAGATGACAAGCATTTATTAAGCTCTTACTGTGTGGCAGGCAGAGTGCTTTGCAGTGGGGCTGCAAATGTAGCCCATCCTTTGGAATTACTCTCCCTATCCCTGCTTGCATTAGCAGGTTAGGGCCCCAGAGCTTGGTGGGGCTACTTCTTATCTCTTCAGAGTCTAGGGGTAGCCTAGAGGGATTAGAGGGCAATTATTTAATGCTATAGCTGGTGAGTTCTCACCAGTGTGCTTCTGGCCATGAGTTGATGTCAATGAATTAAGCTGACTCAATCAGCTTTTAGAAATGAAAATTTACTATGAGGTACAAAGCGGCTGCCTTACCCTGGAAGTTTACCCTGCCCTTGGTCCCCTTCTTCTGCCTGGGACTATCCTGTGCTTGTGGTTGTGCTTTCAGAGCTTAGCATAGTGCCGGGCACAAAGTAAGTGCTTGATGAATGCTTGCTGACTGGAACGGTCTCCCCCGCTCCCCAAGTCTGTGACACCCACCAGGCTCCAAAGAGATCCCAAAAGAGGAGAAAGATCTACCTATATGTGCAAAAATATTTATAGCAGCTCCTTTCATGGTCACAAAGAATAGGGGATTGGGAGGGCAGGCTATCAACTGGGGAATGGCTGAATAAGTTGTGGTATATGAACAGGCAGTACCGCTGGTCCTGCTTCCATCTCAGCCCCCAACACCATCATCTGGGGAAACGATTCCTGTGGGGAAGGGGTTGGCCATCTCTATCAACTCCCAGCCAACTACCACACACAGGGTGACAAGCCAGTCTAGCTGAAGCAGCAACATCCTTTGGGGAGAGACAGGAGGAAGCATGTGCCACCACCACCGTCTTGACCACCATCTCCCCTCTTACCCCAATGAGGACAGCCCAGGAGCCTTGGGATTTCCAAGGCGAAGTGCCCTCGGCCATCTTCCTACCAACCGCTCTTGTGGGTGCGGTGGTCACCGCTTCTGAGGACCTGGAAAAGAAAGCTGTGAATTCCTTGAGAAGAGGACTGCCTGACTTTTCTCTTGGGTTCTCCAGCGCTCCAGCAAACATTTACTAAGTGCTTCATTTGTGAATGGAACAGAAAACTGTGATGTTTAAAAGAGTTTGAGAGGCATAGTTTCTGGATAATTGAATCATTTTATTAAGAAGGCTAGCATGTTATTAATAAAAGGATGGTCATTTGGCTGTCTCTCTTAGACCAAAGACCATGGCAGTAGACTCACAGTTCATGTGCCCTTGGAAGAGGGTGTGTTCCTGAGGGTGACCATTGGTTCTGATTGGTTAACAATTAATGAGAAAATGAATATTACAGTGAGAGGCTAGACTATATTACAATGAGGGTCTTGGGGTACTTAGATCACCTAAATCTTGGTCAGAGAGATTTATCAATTTCCATATCAGCTGCCTGACAAAATGGAGAATCGACACTTCCCAGACCTGACTGAGTAAACACAATACACCTATTCATCTAAGCTTAGCATTTCTTTTACTCTTTGGTTAGATCTTAGCCATCCTGGTTGGATAGGTCTTGAAGAAAGATTCTACACTGATTGAGGTCTGGATGAGGAAGTAGAAAAGGGGAAAAACCTTGGTCTCAATACAATAATTAGTAAATAAATCTAGATATGATTGTGTCAGAATTAATGAGGAAAGGGACAGGTGCAGAGAAACCTGAGAAGACGTACACAAAGTTATGGGGAGGGAAGTGAGCAGAGCCAGGGGGATGATTTACGCGATAACAATGACAACATTCTAGAGACAAACCAGGCCAAGAGGAGAGCTCCCATGCACTGAGCTGCAGCCAAACCCTGATGTGATTCACCCCAGGCAGAATACTCATGAGGCACTCTCTGCAGAAGCTACAATCCATGACTGCTTCCACGGCTGATAGAAATGCATAGAAAATCAGCCAGAGCAATAGGAAAGGGAGCCCCAAGAGCAAAGCCAATACCAGTTTGGAGCATCTTCCCAGATGACCAGAGATGGACACTTGTAGCCTGCAAGCTTCTGTGTCCAGAGGCAGCAAGAGGGGAGGGATCCCCTGAGAAAGCCTCAGGGTGGTCTAAATGTTCCCCGGGCTCCTTGGAAGCCCTGGAGGCAGCTGGAGCCAGTGTGGATGGGGCAGCCCAGAGCTCAGAGGTCGCCAGCACCCTGCTGAGAGATGCTATAGAGGGCTCTCAAAGTCCAATGCTCTGAACCTGGAAGATCCAGGGGGCCGTGAAGGTCAGTGAAGAAACTCAGGTGACCCAGGTCAAGGCCAAGGAGGACTGACTATGGCACCCAAGGACATGCATTGTTGTTTAGTTGTGTCTGACTCCTCGTGACTCCTTTTGGGAGTTTCTTGGCAGAGATATCAGAGTGGTTTGCCATTTTCTTCTTCAACCCAAAGGAATAGCAGGGGCCAAAGCTTGGTCATGGCACAAGGGTCTGAGCAGCGACTCTGGAAAGGAATCAGGGAGGGGAGTTGGGGGACAGCTGTGTGGGGACACCTTCCCCGTGGGGGTC